GTGAAAGCCTTATAACGACTGAAGAAGTTAAAAACCAAACTCTAGGTTTTTATACTGTGTGGTTATGTCGTTACTATTTAAGTTTCAGTTATAAAACTTTATATAGGTTAAATATGGAAATTGTAGAACTATATTCATTTTCTAGTCTTTTGGTTGTAGGAAAGTCTACTAAACATCTTGTTTTAATTTAACAGGGTGAACCAGGAATCCGACAGATTGTAAGAAATTTTATGCTACCATTCTTGCGAGAAAAGAACAGCTCTTACATTTTAGGAGAAGTAGACTTTCCAGATGGGGACATGGTGTCATTCATTAGTGGAGCTATAACTGGCACAAGAAAAACGCTGGTCTTGTTGTCTGAAGATCTTTTCTTGGATCACTACCGAGAGTTTGAGATGAACCTGGCCATCATGCGAGAGTTCAATGTACGAGGTCAGGTTATCGTTCCTGTCTTTGTTGAGAGGGTCGACTTGAATACATACCCACCTGAAGTAGAAACTTATTTAAGGAATCAGCTGTACAGGTGTCTGGTCTACAGAAATAACCAAAATTTCTGGACACTTCTACTACATGCCATTAGAAATGATGAGTAGTTTGACATTTAAACCCTCTCATGTTGCGAGGTCGGGTCTCTCCCGGTGCGGGACCTCACGGTGTCATCCTCCCCTCCAGAAAAAACCTGTTATATATATATATATATATATATATATATATATATATATATATATATATATATAGTTACATTTGGTGACTTTGCCTTCCCATTTTGCCAAATGGTGTTAATTAATTGAACTGGCAAAATCATATATATTTTGCAATTTTTCGCCATAATGGTGTCACCCGGTGCGGTCCACACCCCCCCGCCCCCGCCCCTCAACGCTTAAGTCTAATCATGTCTGCCTAATATAATGTTACCAGTTGTACGTTTAGATTCAGCAAATCAGTAGACCAAAATGGTTAAGAACATTGCTTTTTGATTTTTAAATCAGCTTCCAATTATAAAATCATAACCCATGTCATTTCCTCACTTTTTATATACTATTGGGAATTTATTTTCGTTTACTTTCTGCTTTTTTTCTGTTTTGATGATCTGTCGATTTTTTCTTCATTCAAACATTTTTCCTCTAATATTTTTTAAATATGTGTGTGTTGTTTATTTGACAATTTATGCTCTTAAGATTTATATTGTGTTACATTATTTTCTGTAAAGTTACATGATTGTCGTTTTGCACTTAATGGTTATATTTTTTATTTAGAGAACCTAATTTCTCAGCCTTAATGATCCAAGATTTTAGATAGAGTGCTTCACAGATCAAGTAATTTCGCTCAGTATGCCTCTACACTCCCTTTTCTCCCATTTGTTGACCAGCTGTGGATTAAAAAAGATCACCTTTTTGTTTATGAGGCAAACTCGAATTTGCAAAATTTGGTCATGTTAGTAACAGGAACTTTGTATATAAAATTATTTTTAAATGCTCCAACGACCTCAATTATATGAAAATAATTGTGCAACGTTGGATATTATAGCTTAATGTTCATGAGTTAATAAAAAAAAAAACCAAGAAAAATTTCATTTTGCGTATTACTTGCTACGCCAGTTGTAAAAAAATAATTTTATTTTTGAATTTGTGTAACAAGATATTTTAATGCAAATGCTTTATTAAATAAACAATATTCATTTTATTAGGCTTGAATGTGATTTTGCTTGATGCAAACTGAGAGATGAATATTCTTGAGTATCAAGAGATGGTATTGATAAAAGTTCATATATTGAATGAACAAAAGTGATTCTTCACACAAACGTAATGTCCAAGACGTAAGGCTTTAAAATTTCGATTGAAAAACAGTGAATATAACCGATTTTTTTAAGTGACAGTTTATTATTTAAATAAACTATAGCTTTATTATTAAAGAAAATAAAATAATACAAAGTTGCATCCAACTACAGTCAAAATATGTTGGCTTGAAAAAGAAAAATTGTCTATAAAATGATTCAAAATGTGTACGTTGAGTTACTATATATTGGGGAATAAAACAAAGCCTAGATACTACTGCATTATCCATTTATTGTACTTTTTGTTTGCTTGTGTAGCCGCCGTCACTGAACTTTAGTAACAACACCAATTTTAATCTTAACCTAAGTCTTATTTAACATTAACTTACAACCAAATGACGTTAGCGGAGGTTAGGAAAAAAAATCGAAAAATAAAATTAAAATGTCAGCTTTTTATGAGTTTGTTCCCTTGGATTAAATAAACTCCTACATTGAGACATTTTAAGACACTCATTAATTCATTTTTAAGCATGCTTTAAAGAAAAAACTCAAGTCGAGAGATAGGTTCTAGGAAGATAGATATATGTAGATACAACAATAAAAGATTCGTATAAGGAGTACTCAGTTCCTCTTATTTCTAAACGTCGTTGATCTGTCTGAACGTAATACAGCCTTAGTGGTTCTCAAGGTTTAATACTCTCTCCCTGGTATTGGAGACGAGCGAAATGGTAGCTGGCTGAGTCAAGTGACTCAAACCCTCTCACTGCACGCACCATAGCGTAACACTGAGTGTTTTTGTAGTTATTAATACCTTTATGGTTGTCCTCCACACTTTACTTGGCAGCATCGTTCAGCCTCCCCAACACGTCGAGTGTGACAACAGATTTTATTCGATCTATTAGTAAGTTGACCAGATCTTCGTAATTTTCCTTCGAGTTTTTGACTGCCAGAACCAAGCTAAACAATCTACAATCTAGACCACAGGTTCTCAACTTTTTAGGGTAACGACCATTTATTCCCGAAAGCCTAGTGCCCCCAGCCCGTTAAATAAATTAAAAAAATATATCGAACACCAATTGCATCATATTGAATATAGTTTTAAGTTAACTGATTTTTTTGTGACCCTACGGGAAACCCGTTGCGACTCTTATAGGTGTCTTGTTCCAAATGTTGGGAACCTTTGATCTAAACGTTCGTCCTATTTCAGCATTATAAGACAGGCGTTATCTAGAATCTCGCTCGTCTTAGTACCACTTTTTATTTATGTTTTTTTTTACTGTTTTTTAAATCTTGGGCTTTAACCGTGTATATATACGTCTTCCAGCTTACCATACAGACTTAGTAAGCTGCCACTTTGGTATGTATGTAAATTTATATCACTGGTCTTTGAAGTCGGTTACGCTATTTCAGCACAGTTGAAATAGTTATTGTAAATAGCAATCGTAGTAAAAAAAGTTCCCTTTTAAACCTGACGTTCCATGGAGCAAGTGAAGTAGAGTTTAGCTGTTTTCTGTGACCTAAACAAATCAAGGATATAGTGGTCAGCACTGCGCCCACCAGGCTTTACTTTTCCGTATTCTCTACCATTTGACTACTCCGTCCCACAATAGGAGTTATGTAAGCTGACCATAATGCAGGTTTTGTAAGCTGCACATAATACATGTCATGCAAACCTGTAATACTGGAGCTTATGTAAGCGGGTCATATTAAACGTTATGTAAGCAGGTTATATTACTTGTCGTGTACGCGGGTCGTATTACAAATTATGAAGGATTTGGCGTACACATGTCATATTAACTGGTTATTATACAGTTGAGTCATATCATAGCACCTTTAAGCTGCTCAGAATGTAATTTTAACGGGTCATATCATGTGTAAGTAGGTTTTAGTATACGCAGCATAAAAAACATTTTATGAACGCATACATATACAAACAAACATACACAACCGACCGAGTGACCGACCTACTTACCAACGAACAGACTGACCACCCGACAAACTTACCAATTGACTTATTGACTAATTGAATGACTGACCGATTAACCAAATGACCGACGGACTGATTAACTGAGTGACTGATTGACAGACTGGCAGGCAAATGTTATGATTGTGTAGTCAACATTAAAAAAGACAGGGCTCTTGGGGGCACCACGGACTGGAGGCCGGATACCATCTCAATAAATTCAACTTTGGTGTCCGCGTGAAGGTACTGACTGGATGATTTTAATAACTCCTGGTATGTATACGTTTATGTTGGAGACAAATAGATACTTTTAACGCAGATAGTGCTTAATGAAGTTCTAAAAAAGGAGCTATGGATATAAAAATGAATAAGATTACATCGTCACAATTTGTTTCAAACTGCCAATCCAGTGTATATAGTTAGATTCCAAATAAAATGATCTGATAATCATAAAAAAATTATTACAATAGATCTCGCTGCTTGAACAATCAGACTAGATTGATGAGATCTCATGTTACATTTATTTGAAAATATAAAGACAAACGTTTTCCAGTGTGATTTGCTTCAGCGTGTCACAACGAAATAAAGTTCAGATACGTTAGTGACGAAGAACAAAAAAAAAGCATATGAGAAGAACATATTTTGCCTGCGGTTTTGTGTTGGGAATGTGGGAATAAATGGTTAGGTGTTATGTTTAACACTCCTGAAAACCAATCCTCTGCTCCACCGCTGCATGCCCACCTCGAGTAATCACTGGCAGCTGAACTCACTTAATCATATTATGCGAGAGCACAATAAAAAACACAGTCAATTGGACGACTACCAAATCGGCTATTGGTAAGCTCAAAAATATACTATTTTATATATTAGTTTTTTCTGTTTATATCGAGTTTCATAAAAAATATAATGGCACATAAATATATAGTTTGCAATGTTGTTTTTTTTTATACTAGTATCAAAAGAAGTGACGATGTTTTAAAAAACTGGTTAATGAACACACTAATTTTTTTGAAAAATAATCTGCTTTTATAACTGCTAAAGTGTTTTTTCTATAATCTTTTATATAACATGAAAAACAATATGTACAAATATGTATTTATGTGTGAGTGCATGTGTGTATACATAGTCGTGGCTTTGGTAACGTAAATTCAATTCTTTTTCGTATGCACAGGTTTACTCAACAAAAACAAATGAAATGGTCAAAAGTTTTAATACGTACAGATTAATAACTAAGCATAAATCTCAATAACTCCATATCTTGAATTCATGGACAATATAATGCTACTGCAAGTAGTAATGGCTTTACACAAATATATTTGCATTTCAGAATATCAGAAAGATCTCTCTCTCTCTCTCTCTCTCTCTCTCTCTCTCTCTCTCTCTGTACGCACTGTGATGCAGCAATATATTTACGATGAATTTAATATATAAAATTTTGATCTTTAAGTTTGCACAATTTATTTCCGTAACGTAACGTTGAGAAACATTCCACCTTCTGCCTGCATTGTGACTACGGGGAGTCTACGCACTTTTTTGTCGGCATCCACAGAAAGCTTGAACCTAGATAAATTAAACCATTTTTATTTCAGGCAAAGATGATACTGCTGATTTAATAAGAAAAGAGTATTACCAGTTCAAAGCCCTAATTTAATTAAAAAATTAGGCTGTTTAATAAGACATTTATTTCTAAGCATTAAAAAATAAAAATAAACAGTTCATTAGAAAAACAAAAATTAACATAAGTAACATTATCATGGATGAAAATTTTAAAATTGTTCTTAAAATGTTTAAAACTGGCGTTGTTAAGCATATACTGTAGACAACCGTACTTACTTTTTGATTATTTTACAAATAGTTGTTTTCATTTCATTCATTGCAAAATTTTGACCAATACAGTTTCTGTGAAAAAAATAATGTGAACTGATAAGTTGAATTTAGTTTCAAAATTTTTATTTCTCAATAAATTTTCTCACAGTACAGAGTAACAATGTAGCTTGCTAAATACTAAATTAAGAGCTTGTTTCCGTAGATATGGATGGGAGTAAATTAAAATGTAAAGTACAGAAAAAAAGTAAAATATCGTTAGGCTCAATTGTTTTAAAATTGCTTTAATATGTTTAAATTTGTGTTTTGAAATTTAATTGACTTATTTATTTTCTTTGGTGGGTTAATGAATTAAAAAACATATTTACAATAACGTATGCTTATTCAGTCCAATTTACAAAAGATAAATTAGTTCATGTGCAAGAAGCAAAAATATGTTGTCTACCTTGGGCCTGCAGCAAATGGCACAAACTGAAACGGATCAAGTTTAACCTGGTTATCAGGGTTAAACCGCTCTGGGTTAAACTCGTCAGGGTTTTCCCAAATATGAGGGTTATGATGAAGAAGCCAGATGTGGATTGCAATACGAGTACCTAGAGGAGAGTTAAAGTTTTGGTTTTTGTAGGTTTTGTTTCTTTTCTCGTTTGGTTGCCTAGCATTGATTAACAATTGGTTTTTGTTTTTGTAAAATAGCGCCAATCAACAATAAAACACAACTGAAATAATTCTAAAGCAAAAATGGCTTTTAATTATATATATATATATATATATATATATATATATATATATATATATATATATATATATATATATATAAGAAATAACTACGTTAAGAAAATAAACTTTCTTAATAAACGGTATTAAAACTTAGAAATATGTCTTTGTTTAACATCATTTTTAATACTAATGACATTTTACTATATAATAAAAATCAATCTCATGTTTAAAAACAATAAAATAACATTTTATAGTAAAGATCTCGTACTTATGTTAAGTCGTATCGGTACATAAAATGAGCAGCAATTAGAGTAAAAAAAACTACCTAATTTGTCAACTATTCTTAGGTTGCTAGCTGTTTGTTTTACCTTCAGGTTCAGTGCAGTCATATTTACCTTTTGGTAGTATCTGTCCATTAATGCTACAATCTTCCACTGTTTCTCTCTCTATGTACGGCACTGCGGGGTGAAGACGAAGACTTTCTTTTATACATTTTGTTGTGACCTCAAGTTTAGGCAAGTCGTTCCTGTATTGGGATACAGTATTTTAAATATTAAAAGGTAGACTCATATCTTTTATAATCATGGCTGAAAAATGCGGCAGAACATCCCCACCCCTATAAAATGCCAACCACTATCTACATGACACCCCTCTCGGCCTAAATTGGTTCTAGATCAAGGTTTAAGTTAAGATTAAGGTTTAAGTTTAGGTTAAGGTTTAGGTTAAGGTTTAGGTTTAGATTTAGGTTTAGGTTCGGAGTTTAGCTTTGGGCTTAGCTTTAGAGTTTAGGTTTAGCGTTATTCTTAAGGTTGCAGTTAGAGAACCTGGTTTATGAACAAGGAGATCAATATGTGTAAGTATAATGATAGGTATAAGTATATGTTATTTCAATGAAGGGTGAATAAATCGGGTATTTTATCTTACAGGTAATGACGGAGGGAAGGGTGAATACCGAACCGGGCTAATATCTTAGTCCCAATCATTACACACATAAATTCTTCTTACCATTCCAAGTGTTCTCTACCATCTAGAACTCTGACCACCTCTTCGTATACCTTCTCCTGGTACTCTGGATGCTTGGCCAGCTCGTAGAGGGCAAAGGTCATCCCACTAGCGGTGGTGTCGTGGCCTAAAAAAGATAACATTTTGATCAAGGTTATGTTTATAGAGAACAGCGTCGTTCGGATCCCAGGATTGCTGTTGTAGGAAATCACTTAATCTACATGGCTCTTATATGTTCTTGATTACCTTTAGTAATGGTAAGGTGGCGGGGCATAGCACTGAACATAGTGTTCCTTCAAAACTGCACTTTTTCAACCCCATTTATCGCCAGGTTCGAACGGGTATTGTACTTTTTTTTTCTCTTTAAAATAACCAATTGTGTGAATTTGTCTGATTAGCGTTCATTATGCACTCTATTTGTTATCCATTGTCAAACTTGAACACGATGAAATTTTGTTTTTTCATTTAGCATTAGGATTTCGATGTTTTTCTTGTGGTTTTATAATACACCCACCATTCATATTACCTAATCTTGTATATATATATATATATATATATATATATATATATATATATATATATATATATATATATATGTATATATATATATATATATATATATATATATATATATATATATATATATATATATATATATATATATAAGCTAGCGTGCGAACACCTTTATGAAACATATTTTATATTGTAATTTTGATGTTTACCTTCGAACATAAATGTGTCCACTTCATTTCTGATTTCCAAGGGACTTAACCCCTTTCCATCTTCGTCCCGTGCTATCAATAAAATATCTAAGAAATCCTTGATTTTTCTATTTGAAACTTCTTCTAGCTTCATGTCCTTTAAAACAAATAATAAAATTTTGATCCAAACGACGAATGTTTGATATTATTAAAATGACGATGTAAAGTGGAAAAAGGAAATAAAAAAATAATTTTAAAATTTAACAGAGAGATAGATTTGTAGCAAGTGTAGTTTTTTATATACAGTGTGAGATTTGAGATTGTCTACGACAAAAATATAGATGAAATATAATGCCTTGTCTTTGAGATAAAAACAAGCGTCAACTTATTTGAGTGCAACAATGAAAAATGATTATTTACTTATCGAGAAAGATTTAATAATTGTTTTAGACCACTAATGGATATTTGATCTAAAAACATTCTATAACTAACCAATTGTCGTTTCCGTTTTTCAATAACTTCCTCTGCAAATTTGTGAGCGGCTTCACAAAGCTTATGAAACTTTTTCCCGTCTGCAGAAAACTTGTAGAAGAGGTCAATAAAATGGACGGGTGTTCTACAAATTGAGTTTGGGGAAAGTAATTTTTCATTAGTTTGGTAGAGGTCTATCGACAAGCTGTATAGATTTTCTTAGATAATAGATTTTAGAATAGTAATATTAGAGTATAGGGCAGGGGTCGGCAACCTTTTGAAGAGGAAGAGCCAAAAGTTACAATTTTCAAAATTTCCCTGGTTTTAAAGAGCCACTAACATTTTTTTATTTCAAATATTTTACTTTTTTATTAAGATTATTAGTATTTGTGCAAGGAGCTGGAGAGCCGCATCTTGATATCAAAAGAGCCGCATGCGGCTCGCGAGCCGCAGGTTGCCGACCCCTGGTATAGGGGCATAATGCTAAATGAAGAATGTTTACAAACTGTGTTGGGGAAAATTATTTAATTTTAAATCATGAAATAGAAGTCTTTACATAACATGGAATGTTTTTTCTAAAAACCGGGCTAAAATGAATACAAATGGCGTTAAATATATTGTTAAGGCGGTGATTTTTATAAAAAAAAGCCTGAACTGAACCTATACGTTTTGATTTATGGCCGCTAGTATTGAAGAGACTTTTTATTGTGTACATATTTATTCAAATAAACTTTTAACTCAAAACATAACACTTCTGAAAGGTAATTTTTTTCATCGAACACGTATTAATGTTATTATCCAAATGTATTCTGATTAATACTGTTATCCGTAAAAAACAAAAAACAAAAAGGAACGGGCAGAAAAGTTTTCAGTCCTATTAATAACGTATGAAATAACATTTTATCTATTTGACAAATTGATGTTGGAATAAACTGCTATCTAGTCTACACAATAATAGAAAATTGTACAATGATATAAAGATGAGAAGACACAACTTACAACGATCTTGCTGTCCACAAGTTCTGTAGGTCTGTTATGAGCGTGGAGTAGTTGTTGTTGGATCTATTCAAAATATGTCAATTATATTTATGATATCAGTTCATTTGTTAGTGTAGCAGTTGTCGTCTTACAAATAACACGAATATTGTTGCATGTAATTTGAAGAGAGAAATCTATTTTCGTTTAAAAAAATGTAATTACCGCTCAAATCACAAGCGTTAAGATTAGAGTTTTAAATGTTGTAAGCATAACTTAAAGATTTTCCACGCATGAGTATTTGTCGTAAAATTATAAAAGAAAAAAAAACATCTTTTAATAACTCTTGTCTTTTCTCTTATAAATATTATGTTAAATAACTTCCATAACAAATATTTCTCTCGAAATCACATTTTGTTCTGTATATTTATATGCGTTTACATTTTTTTTTACTCTTGCCTCTACCTCATAAATTTTCAAAAAACAAAAGGTGGCAGTGTTATAAAGAAATTTCGAATTTCTATTTGAAATTATTAGGTCTTATTAACATACTTGATAGACTAAGAAAAGCACAATTTATTTAACAAATGTCTAGATTTAATGATAATTGCTTATTAAGAAATACCCTTTTTACAATATTGAACATGTGTTTAAAAATATAAAAGCACATTTGGCATTTGGTTGTATTGATACACACCTGTCTATTTGACAGTCCGACTCATATGAAAAAGCACATCTCAGGATGACGTCTAACGCGTCCAAATTAATCAACGGGTAAATGTTGATAGGCTCCCCTTTCTTGCACAGCTTTGTTAATTTTTCCTAGAATTAAAAAAATGTCATTGTTAAAAGGTCCAGGTAGCCAGGTGGTTTGGACTACCTGTAACCATGGTCTTAACTTTTATGGAGGTACCGAACCCCACCAGTTTCATATATATGTTACGGTCAAAGCCCGAAGTCGACCAATGCACGGATTGGCCGGCCAATCCGCGCATTGGCCAATATCGCCTCCCATAGGTCGGTCAAAGTCTCAATTAGCTATTGATTTCGGCCTTTGGCCGCTGGACATGGTGGACCGGCAAAAGTCTCAATTAGAAGATCATCTGGCTAGGGATGACCGGCCAAAGTCTGAATTAGAAGATCATGAGCATGTTTTGGGTTTTTTATACCTCCAGGATCATTAATTTAAGTCTTTATTGATTATTAATTAAAGTAAATGACAGAAACATTCAAGTTTTTATTGTACTATAGTCTAAATCAATCAATATTATCATTTGTCACAACAAGCTTCGGGGATCACCGCGACCTCTGTCAACATCTGGAACACGGATGCGTACATTGTCACCCACTTCAGCATCTTTAAATTTTGTATTTGATGTTTTAAGCATCTTAGCACCTTGAGTTTGCAAGCCAGTATGAGCTGCTGACCTGTGTTCCATGTTGTCTTGTTTGTTGTGACATAATCTGCTGGTAATATTTCCTCCGTTCCCTTCGTCTGCTTCATTGGGTATTTCACAAATAGCATGGTTATCGTTGCCACAAGTTCCACAAGAATGAGCTGCACTACAATGTTTTTCACAAACTATACAGAATCTGTTGGCCACATAATTGTCACGCAACTGGTCTGGACGTTCCTCCACGGCAGCAGATGTGTTAGCTGAGGATGGCGTTGCATTTATGGCAACCCCCATTTCTCGTTCAATGTTCTCAAGATCTTACTCTGTAACTATTTTATCGAGAGCCTCTCTTAGTAGATTTGAAGTGGTTTCTGACGCTCACGCCATCTCAAGTCGCTTGGACACTATTGTTCAACTTACAAGGAACGCGGCAAAGTCTTTTGAACATTCCGTCTTGTTGCACGTGGTCGGTGACGCCGACTGTCTTTGATTTTGTTCTTTGATGATTGTCTCACCTCGTCATCATGGAGGAGGCTGTCACATACGGTTGTAGCCCATATATGGAAACTAACTTGGATTTACATTTTTTTTCTTTTGACAGCCATCTGCTATGTCTGTCTCATGGTCTGACGGCCCGTTTGACCCATGTCGCCTTGCATATAGATTGCTATACAAACAAGAGCTAAAAAATACGTTACTAACAATGAAACCGCAGCCAGAATAATGAAAACGCGATCACAACTTAGTCTAGATAGAACATTGGCCAGGACATCCCGGCCAGTGCGCGCATTGGCCGGCCAATATACAAAATACGCAGTCAAGTTTAATCGCTTCAGACTTTGGCCAGTACGTCCCGGCCAGTGCGCGCATTGGCCGGCCAATGTACGAAATACGATCTTAGTGCTGTTAGAGCTTTGGTTAAGAGAGCTGGCCAATCCACGCTTTGGCCGCACTTCGGGCTTTGACCGTAACATATACATTTACCAAACCCCTCTTAAAAGTTCTTTTGCTCGCAGAGAGAAAATCCTACCGTGAATCTTGTGAGTCGGCTGAAAATCTTGTTCTCCGCTAAACACATGAGACTTACTCACCGAACCCTTGTGGTTTGATCAAACCCAGGTTAAGAACCATAATTCTATTCACCAATTACATGTTACTCGAACTTGTGTGCGTTTGGATGTATTTGTGTGTGTGTGCGTATTTGTATTTGCGTGTTTCTGTGAGTGCATGTTGGTTTGTATGTGTGTATTTATGTATGTGTTTGTGTGCGCGTGTGTGTATTTTTGTTTTGTACCTGAGCATGTATATAGTGTGTTTGTGTGTGTGCTTATAGCTGAGAATGTACGTGTACACTAAATACTCACAATCAATGTATCTGAACACGTTTGGTAGATGGACAAGTAAGGTTTGAGTATGTCGAAATGGAAGGCAGGAGTCAGCAGACGACGATTTCTGGCCCAACGGTCACCATTGGTTAAGACCAGCCCCTCTCCGAGCCAGCGGATGCCCATGTCGTACGTCGATGCTAGAAAATAGCCTCGGGGTTTTCTTGCTGGTAAAAATAGAACACATCTTCTTATATTGACAACATATTCATTGGATAACATTTGAATATGCTCATTACATTAACTTTGAGACAAACGAATAAATAAAAATTCTTTGCAAATATGTATTTTTTTCGGTAACTTAACTCCTCAACCATCTTTACAATGGCGCCGTTAACTCTTTACACAAGGCATTTCTCTGAACGTTTCTTTCATTTTTGTTCTTTTAGCCCCTTAACGCCGACTATCGCTAAAAAGCTACACCTCATTAAATTAATTTGATATTTTCCCTCGTTTGTTGAGCTGTTTGTTGTTTGCAGATACGTTTTGCGTACTGTCTATCCAAGAACAACCTTCAAGACAGACTTTGTTTGATTTCGGAGTTGTCTCTCTTGGATTGATTCTGTATCCATCTATCAAACCACAAATACCCAGGAGCTCAAACTCAGGACTTTTCAACTTTACAACAATGAGCTTTAACGACCCAACCACACAATCAAGCCATCCATTTCTCCACCAGACTCTCATTCTCACAAACAAAACTCTACATGTGTTTTCTCTTATCATTTCTTCAAGTCACGAAATTTCTTCCGATTCGTTTCTGTTTTTAATTCCACTTAACCGAACGAGCTATTACATAGGTCACGTTTACAATGTTCAAAACCAGTACGTTGGCCCTCAATTTGTTCCTCCTGACCTAATTTATATTATGATTCGTTCAATCTGATGATATAAGGCCAAAAAAAATTTCTTGGGACACACATTCTTATACGAGACAGATTTTACAACAAGCGTTTCATTCACATACACCCACGTTCTCGAAGGAGGCCAGTCTGCTACACACCTACACACCTACACACCTACATACCTACACACCTACATACCTACACACCTACATACCTACAGCTACACACCTACATACCTATACACCTACACACCTACATACCTACACACCTACACACCTATACCGCTACACACCTACATACCTATACAGCTACACACCTACACACCTACATACATATACAGCTACACACCTACACACCTGCATACATATACAGCTACACACCTACACACCTACACACCTACATACATATACACCTACACACCTATACAGCTACACACCTACACATCAGGTAAGGCCACACTCTTCCCTTCAACAGTGGTTACATTTTAATTAACACCATCACAACTTTCAAACCTTACATTTTGACAAAGTAAAACCGTTAAGTGGGTAGTCTCCGGAGAAAAAAACGGAGAATTAAATTCTTAAAAAATGAGCCTTTTTATTTATTTGTTTATGTATTAGTTAAGTTACCTAATGGAAAATATTTGCATGAATCAGTATCTCTCTGAAAATATGGTTGCCATGGTAACAGCAGCCATCTTGGAAAAATAACCAATTGTGGAGTTTCATCAACTAACATATATATTGGCCATATATTCATTGACCCATATTTTTCTAACACTGATAGAGTCAGTTGGCTAGTTTTTTTAACAGAAAAACCGCTAGAATTATTATTTCAAATTTTTTAAAACAAAGTTATGGTGAAATACCGTTACATTTTGCATTGTTTTTAAAGATTTTTCGCCATACCAATTTTTGAAAATTAAAAAAACAAATATTTCTAATAAAACATATTGATTAAGAACTTGGAATTTTCTGGAGCCTACCCCCTTAAGTATATTCACTAAAGATCTGACTGTTTTACTAAGTGACAACGTTAAGTATTCACTAAAAATTGATTTATCACCATAAACCTACCAGAAGATTTGAACACAGAACGTACAGACTCAGGGTGGTAGACAAACAAGACGGGTGTTACTGGACCATACCATTCAAAATGGCAGTAGCAGTTTTTCTTCACTCTCTCCAATAAATATTCCAAGCCCTCTTCGTTTATTCCTGGGAACTGTGAGGCAAAGAATATCAAGAAGAGAAGGTTCAATAACTATAAGAGAACTAATATCATTATCAGATTTAATGACATCTGTTCGAAATTTTGTTGAAACATTAGCATTGTTTTGTTAATTTACTGTTTTATTGACCTATATTTTATTTTGTTTAATAATAATAATAATAATAATAATAATAATAATAATAATAATAATAATAATAATAATAATAATAATAATAATAATAATAATAATAATAATAATAATAATAATAATAATAATAATAATAATAATAATAATAATAATAATAATAATAATAATAATAATAATAATAATAAACACAAAAAAAACAAACATAACAATGATTGATTGAATTTCACCACCCTAGTCATGAATAGATTTTTAGATTTGTCTTTTGTCACATATAGAAGGTTTAGATTAGAAAAACAGTGGTTTCTATGACGTCCACTACCTTAAAGACCCTTAAATATTACATTTACGATTGAAGAAGAAGAAGCAAAATAGCAAGTTATTTTTATAGGATTATTTAAAATACAAAACAAACCCATTTATATTTGCTACATAACAAGAACACAGTAATATTTTTACATCGTTATTACCCGTTTGGCATCCCTCTAAGGTTTTAGCGCCCGAGGCGCACCCCCCCCCCACCCCCCCCCCCCCTCCCGACTCTCTTGCTACGCCACTGAATAACACCAGCTTAAGTAAACTTACGTCATGCAGTGTCCCCGTGATCCACCGAAACTTGGTAGAAATTGGAAACTTCGCGAAGGTTTTGTTGTATTCTATTAGTACTTTTCTTTTCTTGATGAACACATAAAGCAACACGGCCGCCAACAAAAGGTAGAAAATAAACATTTTTGTTTGCGTTGAATAGAATATTCACAAGGTTTGCTGTTGGTTCTTAATGCTAAAACAATTGTGTTTGAAAATTGTTCCTCAAAAGTAATTATTGTAGTCACACAGCAAACTCATGTATATAGAAATCTAATGTAATAACATTTGTAGTCACACAGCTAGCTCATGTATAAATAAATCTATTGTACACCACTTGTATGTAATACACAGCTAACTCATGTTTCAAAACATCTAATGTAACAACACTACAAACTGATGGATCCAACCAACTAGCACTGAAGTTTGACCACACTAGCCATACAAAACTTCCACTCTAATCAACTCCCGCGTGGTAACTGCACTGCCAACCACAGCCTAGAATCTACAATCTAGACCACGGGTCCCCCAACTTTTTATGTGCCGACACCACTTTACAGAAATCCAGCGACAACGATACAATACTAAAAAATACACATCACATCTAACACCAAATGTAGTAGTGAATATGTTTTAGTTAACCAACGTAGTTGCCCCCCCCCCCCGCACAGAAAACCCTTATCGACCTCCATAGGTGCATCGTCCTATAGTTTGGGAACCCATAACCGCACTCTTTAAGCACTACAACTCAAGCGTAACCAAAAATCTCGTTCGATTAAGCAGTACTTAATAGGTTTAAAAGAAGAAATAAATCAGGTCGTGGTTTTACAGTATACGTTTTGAAAGTGAACTTGGTACGCTATAACCATAATTTTGTATTGAAGGTTATTTCAAAGGCCGGTTCAGACGGTTAAATCTTGCGTTATAACCATCACAACACAGTTCATACAGGCGTCATAGCGCGGGTTATGTACGCTGGTCTTAGTACAGGTTTTAAGTAAATGGGTCATCGTACGCGGAATTTAAGATGTTCAAATCAAAGCATAATTTATGTAAGTGGGTCACGGTATGGGTAACTAAAACTGGCCATTTCAAATCGTTTACACGGTTCATAGTATGGGTAACTTAAACAGGCAATATCACATTGTATAAAAGTGGGTCATGGTATGGGTAATTTAAACTGGCCATATCACATCATAATTACGTAAGAGGGTCATAGTATAGGTAACTTAAACAGGCAATATTACATTCTATTTAAGTGGGTCAAGGTACATTACATGCGCCTTGCAAATTAAGAACTTAGTTTATAAACAGACACTGAGACACATACACCATCACACACACAAACAAAATCACGATAAAAAAACCATACTAATTTTTTATTGCGCGTACGCTTAAAAAAAACCTGTAGGCTACTCATAAGTGTTGACTAAAATTTTGTCACAAATTCCTAACTAAAACAGCATTCTGTGTAAAACTAAGGACAGATCACCTGTGAGGCTTAGCCACAGCTTGATATAAAAAAATTACTTATTAAATAAAAAATGCTTCATAATAGTTTTAAATTTAAATACAAAAAAATAAAATAAATAAAAACAATTGTTCGAGAGTACTATGTGCGGTCTAAGGTCTAAGGGAAGTAACCCTGTAGTTATGACTGCAATATGTTCGAGAGCTATTGTAAATGTTATGTTTTACATCCGAAAAACAAAAACAAACAACATCCCATTTGAGGGGTTACTAACATTTTACTCTATTGTGACACGTTGTACATTTTTGTACACATATCATAATTTGCATAATATTTGACCGATGGAAATGAAACTTGGTATACGATATCATTTTCCATAAATGGGATAATTTATTGAATAAAAGTCCTAAGGCCATGACGAAAGTGGATAATGCATTTTCAAAAATAAAAATAAAACGTTCTAATATAAAATTTTCTTTTCAAATTTTATGACAATACAAAAATAAATGCTGCATTAAATATATCACTCAAAACCATCGTAGCACGTGTTCATAAAAAAATCGATTCATAAATTCTGCATCTTTTACGATGCGATCTATATAAAATAAAAACTGACATCGTTTTTAAACTTCCTTTATGAAATAGGACGAGAGAGCGAGACGACAGTCTGGTTTGAACTGATAATTGTTTAGAGCTTTTGTGAAAGCATACGATTTTAATCATCTTCGAGTGTTGTCTTACAAGTTGTTTTTAGTGGTATTTTTATCTCACAGTGTCCATGTTCAGTAAGGGTTTGACGAGAAGCCAATCTTACAATTGATAGAATGTATGTGAATGGAGCTAATACTAACATCATGTATGCAGTCACAGTCAAAT